ATGCAGCTTTAACACATGAAGCTTTGGCTGCTTGTCAGAACTGGAGGTTGATGCCTGATACATACTTGATATTTGGTGCGATGGTGAAAACTAAATTTGACTCGTGTGGACGGATGACAAGGTGGAGTTGCTCAGTGAGCATGCTCAACATCTTCTTCTCTGGTATTTCACGTAAAAGAAAATTCCAAAAGATAAAACGGGGTGAGATGAATTCCGGCTCTTACAGAAGTTCTGGTGTCCTCAGCAGCTTCCTTCCTCCCGGCTGGTTTGGAAACACGTCTTCCAGGAAGTAGTACATGTGACCGACACAGATACCTGAAGAAAACACACATCAGTGATCCTCACTTCATCACCATGAACACACACACACACACAAAGACTCACTAGAGCACCAAATGTGGATTAATCCGCCGCTGAAAATAGTCCCAAACAAATGCACAATTTCCTTCTGTTTGTTTAAAAAACTATTTTAGGAGATTACTAAAACCACTAAGGAGCGATTACTAAGGATCCATTTTGAACTGCTGAGAGTTTGATAATTCAATTTAGGCCTCTTGCAATTTGAATTTAAACATAAATGTATTATTTATTTCCATATATTTAGTCTGAAGTTCACTGTGCAGCCGTCCTGAACTCTACAGAAGAAGAAGAAGCGTAGATGAATAGATCAACCTCTGGTCACATCAGTTGTTGGCGGTTTGGTGAAACCTTCTCGTACCTAGGAGGTCGACCACGACGGAGTTCCCGAGCAGCAGCGAGAACCCGGCGAGCACCCAGGGGAGGAACGGAGCCCGGAAGTTCAGGAGGCCGAAGAAGTTCATGCGAACCAGCGGATGTCTTCTACTCCACACGTACACCAGCATGATGATGAAGGCCTGGCCCAAGAAGAAGACGTTGGCGAACAGACCGAACAGCTGTGAGGCCTTCAGGTTAAATTCAACTCATCACATTTTAGTTTCTCAAAAAGGTGAAATAAGCTCATCAAGTCAACCCTGAGCCACTGAAGCAGCAGATAGTAACGTTACAGAAGGAGCTGTGGTTCTGAAAGGATACAGTCATTACGATTCCTCCAAACAGGAACATGAAAACAAAATCCGCCGTCCTCCCCCGGAAACAGCCTTCCTCCAGCATCCGACAGTATCGATAACTTCCGTTAGCTAAGGGGATTTATTACACGGTAGACTTTATGGTAGTGTGTTGCTTTTTATAGATAAACTGAGAAATTCATGCTGTGATGAAAAGATACAGAAAGATGATGTTGAACACGAAGCTGAATCCAAGAGAACCGAAGAAGAGGAAGCTGGTTATCAGACGCCATATCTGAGAGAGAAAGACAATAATGTAAATATAACAACGCACCGTACGGCCATGTTTTAAATGTTAAATAAATGTTACCTGGTATCTTCTGATGATGAGGTCCAGGTTAAAGTAGAGCTGAAAGGGGCTGATGACCTCAAGTTGCTAAAGATAAAACACGGCTTGATATTAATTATTAAGTTAGGTATAATAACTTATAATTATTTCAGTTAAAGTCCCTCAATCAGCATTTATAAGCGACATAATACAAACATTTAATAGGACGTTTTAAGTGTTTATTTGTAGCTCATCCTGCGATTTTAAACCCAACACTTTAACTACTTTTCAGTGCAACTGAAACTTCAATTGCTTTTGTTGCCGACACTTCCACTGCTTTCATCCGTTCCATATCTACTGACGTTACAACTGTGTCCATGCTACAAGTGCTTTCACTTTCAGTGAAGCTTAACTGCTGCTGTTTGTTTTACTCTTCAGCTTCTTCACTTGCTATTTAAATGAGTTCAGTTGCATGAAGTGACAACACTTCAACTGAAATCTCAGCTCAGTGAGTAACCTCAGCTGACAGTTTAACTACTTTCAGAGCTTTCACTTCACTATAACTGGCACTTCAACTGCCTTCACACAGAACATATCAATTCACATTTCAACTGCTTTTAATTGTTTTACTCCTAACGGTTAAACTATTTCCAAATATTCTACTTCAAAATCTACAATGTGTGTAAAAAAAAAAAAAAAAAGTACTTTTGTCGCTTACAACTTTCCTGACACTTCAACTGCTTTCACCCTTTACACATCAACGACATTTCAACTGCTGTCAATGCTTGGAAATAAACTATCTTCAGTGCCTCCAAATCAATTAAAATCAGAACTACTTTCAGCTGTTTTCTCCTCTAACTGACACTTCAACTGCTTTCATTTCATTCTCTTTAAATGAGTTCAACAGCACTCAGTGACACTTCAACTGCTTTCATCACTTTAACTTCATCTGAAATCTTCTTAAACTTTTAAACTCATAACTACTTTTAAATCTTACACTTCAACAAAAATGTGCCTTTGGCACTTACACTCAAACTGACGCTTCAGCTGCTTTCACTTTTTAAACATTGACTGACATTTCAATTGCAAATCCACTGCCACTGTTTGAAGTGCACACACTTCATCTTAACTGCTGTTGGTTTTTATTCTGTAACTGACACTTCAACTGCTTTCATTTCATTTTTAAATGAGTTCAACAGCACCGAGTGATTCCACTCACACTTCAACTTTGTTCACTTCAACTCAATAATAAACCTTCAACTGACGCATCAACTGCTTTACACTTCTATTGACGCCTTAATTCCCTTCAGTGCTTACACTTTGGGTTCAGCTTTATTGTCGTAATACAAAACAGGATTGCACAATTTTATACAAAAATGTTAATTAAATATTTTAAATGAAAATACAATAAAGCGCTAAAAAAAGAAAAGTATATAAAAAAGCACAACAGGTAGAAATAAGAACAACTCAATTATATTAACAAGGAAGATATAGTTAAATATACAAACATGCATGTGTATACAGTGTGTGTATATATATATATATACACACATATATATATATATACATACATATACACACACATATATATATATATACATATATATACACACACATATATATACACATGTATGTACATACATACATACATACATACATGTATGTATATACATACATACATACATACATACATACATACATACATGTATATACATGTATGTACATACATACATACATACATACATACATGTATATACATGTATGTACATACATACATACATACATGTATATACATGTATGTACATACATACATACATACATGTATATACATGTATGTACATACATACATACATACATACATGTATATACATGTATGTACATACATACATACATACATACATACATGTATGTATGTATATACATACATACATGTATGTATGTATATACATACATACACACATATATACATACATATACATACGTATGTATCTACATACATACGTATGTATCTACATACATACGTATGTATATACATATGTATGTATGTATATATATATACACACATATACACACATATTTATATATATATATATATATATATATATATATATACACACACATATATACATACATATATACATATACACACAAAGAATATGTACAATATGTGCAACACTTAAAACATAAACTGTTATTTGAAATTGGTACTTTAAAATCTTTAAACTCTCCGACATCTTAAAGAGTTTTATAATATTTTAAAGCAGTTTAACTTTTTTAATATTGTTTCAAAAAGCTCCAAAGACTTAAAACTATATCAAATGATGTCAACTGCAAGTTTTTGTTAAATTTACCTTCTCAGTAAATGTATAAAAACATAAGCAACACCTGACAGAACCTGTTTGCTGCTCGGTGTTTCATCAATTTATTTGACATAAAATAAATAACTTTAGAAAACAACAAGACAACAAGCAGCTCGACTGTGAATTAAAAAATCATTTAGAAATTAACGTTTTCTTAATATATCTAAATAAATGTTTCCTGCCTCATCAGAGCCTGGAGGTCAGAGTTCAGACTCAGTTGTTTTCATTGTTACGGACTTGTTGTTGTTGTTGTTGTTGTTGTTGTTTCTTACCACAGCAGCGGTGGTGAGGACGCAGGCGGTCGTGTACGCTCGGGTCACCACGGGGATCTGAAAATACTCCTGCGTGAGGCTGAGAGGCATCGCTGCTGCTGCTGCTTCACTGTCAGCCATCATTTACTCACCGAATGAACAGCACAGGCCCCGCCCCCCTCACTGCAGCAGCCAATCAGAGCCACCCACCAATTAACACCATCCAGCCCACAGGCTGTAAACCTTTAACACATGACATCACTTTTAAAGCAAATAAATTAGAAAACATGCAGAAATATAGTTTAGTTTTTTAGACCTCCCCATTTTTAACCCCAGTGATGTAATATTTATTCACTTATTTTTAAACATTTTACGCCTCCGTTTGAAGTTTGTGAAATAAAGTTTCTATTAAAAAAGCGATTTTCAAAAAGTTACATAACTATGACAAATTTGATAGTAATAATTACACAACAAAAAGCAGATGAATAAAATCTAATTTAATAAAAATAAGCCTCGTTATAATTATTTAAACACATAGTGTGAATAAGAATTTATTCACAAAATTGTCAATTTTTAAGTTCATAAATATATTTCCAGCTGTATTTGTATTAAATACTGATGATTTTGTCTGTAAAAGGGATAACTATAATATATACATATATATTATATTATTTTTTGTATCCATATTTATCCTCATAATCAACGATTAAAGTCAAAAATAAATGTATTTCACTTTCACTTACAACAAGTAAAAAAGTATTTAAAAAACTCTGATTTTCAGAAGTGACTGAGCTTTGATCCCCCGTTTGGTACAAATGTTATGGTTTTATTAATAAGAAAACAATACGTAGTTCATACATTTCAATGTACAGCGTTTACACTACATAGGAGTACAGAACAAAACAATAATCAAAGACATGTATGTACATCAGACGTGCTGAGTTGTTTGTGTATAAATATTCGTTCACTGATTGAACTCTTGACTAGATTCAAACAACGGCAACAAAGTCTGAACGATGAAAACGGTAAAACAACTCGTCAGCGTCCTGCACTGAAGAACGAACATCTGATGAACCTCAGTCTGGAACTGAGCCTTCACTTCTCAAGTGCTGCAGGCCGGGGACACGGCGGTTCTCAACCTGGGGCACCAGACCCACTAAGAGGTCAGGACGTGACTTTTGACAGGTCCGTGAGATCCTTTAAATCTCCTAAAAGCAGCTGGAATCTAATGTGTGTGTGTATTTAACAGTGTTGTTGATGGATTCAGCTCCTGAGCTGGAGCCAGGTGAATAATGTGGAGGCAGCTTCCGTCAGCAGAGAGACGTGGTAAGGGACAAAGTTAAACCAGATAGCATGCACACTACATATGGTAAATTTATTAAGTGTGCTGTAGATGCATTCTATCATCCCAGAATTCAATGCGCCGAGGAAGTGGACGAGCTGCTCACAGCTGGAAAACATTAAAGTAAATTGAGGATGAAAAAGCTTCAGAGAGATCCTCAAAAACAAGAAGTCGTTGTTTAAATCCTGGTGCGCAACATGTGTGATTGATGCTCAAACTGTATCATTTACTGTTGGTATAAAAATGGTAAAGTATGTTGTTTTTTGTAAATGTACTGCAAGGGTTTACTGTAACGATAGAATAGATTTGGGTAGAAGTGAAGTACAAGTACCTCACAATTGTACTTGAGTAAGTGTTGTTCCAGCTGGTAATCTATACGATTACTTCTGGCTTCGTCTCTGCAACAACAGATTGAAAGTTAAAGCGTCCGGAGGTGGAGAACCGCCGATCCCCACAGCAGCTGCTGTCCCTGAATGTGTCACACTGACCGACCTGAACAAAGCACCACGTTAATGAGAGAGAGAGAGAGAGAGAGAGAGAGAGAGAGAGAGAGAGAGAGAGAGAGAGAGACAGACAGACAGACAGACAGAGAAAGAGAGAGAGAGAGAGAGGGAGAGAGAGAGACACATAATGTGAGGAAATATCTGAGTCCTCCTGCAGGCTGACGGTGTTACTCTAGGTGGAGCTCTGGAGCTTTTTCCTTTAAGCCGTCACAGAGGAGCTGCAGAGCGTCGTCTAAGAGCTTCATGGCGTCATGTTGGAGGAGTGACATCAAAACATTAAAAATAACAGAAACGTTATCGTCTTCTTCTTCCCAATGTGACTCTTCTTTAAGGCTCCTCATTGACTGGAAGGCAGAAGCTGTTTCTGTGTGTTTGTCCGGGAAGACAAAGTGTTACGTAACATCTAAAAGGGACAAGAAGAACTTCTACTGACTGAAACCTTGTTCATTTTGCCCAAATAAGGAAAATAAATACTCGAAAACGCAAGTGATAACATCGTCCATATTTGTGTCTAGAAGGATCTCGAGGATTTAGGATTTTCTTTCCATGAATTGAGCCTCTCAGACGCCCCCAAAAAAAACAACTTTGGTGACTTTCCCCTCTTAAACATCCTCCTAGAAAAAGAGTCTGTCTGTCCGTCCTTTGCTTTCCTCGACAACCGCTCATCCGATGGACTTCACACTTGGCATCTCTACAGCTGACGATCCAAAGAGGCTCAGTGTCGAGTGTGACGTCCGGATGAGCGGTTCTCCAGAACGCTGCAGCACCAGAGGCCAAACAATCGGCACGTTTTCAACAAGCGATACACAATATTTGGTTTTAATTGCAACCAGCGAACAGGAAGTAACCATATCTGGACTGAGGAGGAGTGACGTAGAGACGCTGTATACGTCTCTGGTAGAGACCTGTCAATCACTGTGTAGCCCCGCCCCTAAAGCATCCCCTGCTTTATGGTCTGTGTGACTCTAAATGGACCATAATGTACTAAATGAACATCATGCTGTATTGAAGAAGACTTGAAACTAGAGATTGAGACCATAAACTCATGTTTACAATGTTTACTGAGGTAATAAATCAAATATATATATATACATATACATAAATATTTATATATGGATATGTGAATATATATTTCCATCAGTGTTGTTTCCTCTTCTTCTGCAAAGGTTTGATAGCACCCAACTGGCAAAATTGGTGCGACTGTTTATCTCGACTCACCAATATTTGCATAATACTAGTCTGGAATCACAGTTTTTTGTGTGCAGATTTTCACTACTTTTCTGACACCATGAGAGCGAGAGCTGCCTGAGAGACTCACTTCAGGACCTTAAAACCCCAAATGATTTGAATTCGGAGCAGAATCTTCAGCTAATAAGAACTCAAACAAGTCGTTCACAGTCTCAACAAAGTCACAACAACTCTAATTAATGAAAGACTTGAACATAATGTGACTTTTGTTCATGTGTTGTCATTCAGACTCTGCTTGAGTCCGATTGGTTAATAAAATGAACTGCGTTTGTTTCCCGACTCCATGCGGAATGATTTCTGGGTTCAAACACATCTGCTGACTGCAGCTTTAAAGTTTGATGTCACTCTTCAAACACTTGAGGATCAGAGAGTTCGTCCATGATGAAAAAAACACAAGAGTTCCAAATGAAAAACATCCTCGACAGTCTGAACTGGTTCCGTCTGCAAAACCAGTTCAAAAAATCTCATTTTCAGGCTCAAAGACAGGAAGTGAGAGCGATGTGTCGTTAACACGGGGCCCAGGTTCTCAGCCTCACGGTGACGAATAACAATGTGCAAAATAAATAGGAGTACAGCTGCACAGGAGGAGCCGAGTCTGAGGAAACATTACTGGGTTTTCCTGAGAAGAAGGTGAGATTCGATAAATGGAGTAAAGCAAAGACGGATTAAAGGATCCACAGGATGAAAAACACAAAACCTCTCTGCTCCAAAAAAAACTCTTCTTCATGGTTAAAAAAAAAGAACACGAATCCTGTCGATGTGATTGTTCACAGTTAAAAGTCTCACACGTTTCTACAGCCGAAAAAATCCATGCCGATGTAGCGTGGGTAGCCCTCCAGAGAGTTCATGCCGACGGGATCGAACTTCCAGTACTGTCGACCTCGGATGAAGTGAGCGTAGCCTGAAGGACGCAAAGCACACCGTGAAATCTCAGGTCAAACAACGGCTCAGCAGGGTTTTATTTTGTGTTCATTGTGGCTTAAAATTACATCAAATTAGCATTTTATTTTTGATGAAATGCAGTAATATTCTAAAATGGCACAACCGGCACATAGTGATGTTAATATTCTGGTTCCAGAGCGAATAAAAACAAGTTTATGAATCTCTAAATATCATGAAATCACCTGTTTGTGAGCGGTTTGACCAGAAGTAGCCTGACTGATGACGTCAACTCAATATAATTCATATAACCTCATATCACAACTCATGAATCTGTACATCACAGTAGAGCAGGAAGCCCCGAGGTTATAAGTAATTTGTTGCCATTTTAATGCACCCAAAAGTACAACAAATCAAATCCTGAATGTTGTCATATTTGGATTATAAGTGGAATAGAGTGCATGTAAACTTAAATACTGTGCACAGTCTTGGAGTATCAAAATCCCATTGTGACTAAAATACTAGCATGTGTAGCCCCGCCCCAAAGCATCCCCTGCTTTATGGTCTGTTTGACTCTAAATGGACCATAATGTACTAAATGAACATCATGCTGTATTGAAGAAGACTTGAAACTAGAGATTGAGACCATAAACTCATGTTTACAATGTTTACTGAGGTAATAATTACCGTAGACGTCCCTGAACGTGGCGTCCACGTCGTCGGGGATGCCGCTCCAGTCCTGCATGCTTCGGGGGTACACGGACTCCACGCGCTTCTCGTTGGGGCTGAACCTCCAGTAGCTGCCCGACTTGAAGAAGTAGGTGTTGAAGTTGGAGTCGTGGCCCCAGCGCAGCGCCGCCTGGATCCCGGACACCGACAGACCCAGACTCCGGATGGACTCCGGCCCTCTGACCTGCATCTCGGCGTCGAACACCCAGTAGTTCTCACCTGATCCGGGACAGAAAGGAGTCTTGAGGGTGGTTTTCATTTAGAGATCCATTCAGTCGTTTTTTACCCAGTCGGAAATTCTAGTTTCAAATTGGAGTGACGTAGAGACGCCGTATACGTCTCTGGTAGAAACCTGTCAATCACTGTCTAGCCCCGCCCTAAACCATCCCCTGCTTTATGGTCAATGGGTGATGTCACGATGACTACGCTTACTTCTTATATACGGTCTTTGTGCATGAACAAACAAAGAGTAAACTAACATGGCCACTTTAATCCTGTTTAAACCTGAACACACGCAACATTTTACAGAGATACCGCGGTATTATATTTTATATTATACGCGTTTTTTTCGTACTTATACTTTAACTTCTGCACTATTTTGTGTTTCATGTCTTCACGTTTGTACTTGCATGTTTTTCCTTTTATATACTGTATTTTGTAATAATATTATTGAAAATTAGCCTGAAAACAAGAATGTTATTAAAGACATAATGATCTGACAATGTCTTTGCTGCTGCGTCAAATAAACTTCGTTCATGTATAACACTAAAGGTTTTACTTCCATGTCTGTTTTCAGAATGATCATTCAGAGCTGCAGTGAAGCAAAACCCCAAAAACCCCAAACCAGGAGTCAGAGGTTTGAAGCCGGACAGCATCTGTGTTTCCTGATGTTTTTGAACATCAGCTGCAGGTAAAGTTAGCTCATGATGAATGTTAAATGTTCATCACATTAAGAGAATCTAAAGAAAAGTGGTAAAAGAAGAGTAAGCTGACTAAACAGAAGCTTTTTATGTCCCCTCACAGTGAAACTCATTCTACCCTGAACCACATCTAATGTAAACACCCCAGAAAGACTCATAATTGCAATAATTTCACGGCTCTGTGTTAATTAACATTTTACACCTGTTCAAACTCGCCCAAGAGTTCACGGTGATCCTGAAAACCGTAAAAAGAAAACACACATAACTCATCTCAGCTCGAGCGTTTTCCTCGCTGCCCACCTTGAAAGAACCAAATATTCCCCGACTTGTCTTCAAAGGCGGCGTCGATGTTGTCGGGAATCCCCCTCCAGTGACGGGACGCCAGCGCCGGGTACCCGCCCTCCAGACGCCCGTCCCGGATCCTCCACACGTAGCCTGACTTGAAGAAGAACAGCTCCCCCCGGATCATGGACACGGCGTCGAAGTCCGTCTGGCAAGCGTCGGGCTAGAACATGAGACACGACCGTAAAAGTTTTTATTGCAGCGGAGATTAAAAAGTGTTAAGGAGACGTTTTTGTTGTCTGATCCCGAAATAAAACCCTCTCGGTTAGAAGTTTAGAAGGAGAAAAATGATCTTTTTTCCACATCCACACAAAGATTACTTTTGTCTTCGACCCTCATTTATCATCCGAGGTTCAAAGATACACTCTTGTGTGATGTGGTGCAGTCTCAAAGATATTCTCTCTATTTAAGAGTCATAACCACAGAAACCACGAACTCTTAGGGGAGAAGGCCGGGGGGGGGGGTATGCCATATTTTTCTTCTTGTCAACAAATCCCATACAAATGAAAAAGTAACCCCCTGTGGATATTTCTTCTTCCTCTCAGTCAGAGAGCTCCATTACAAAACCTATTCTGACTCAATCCCACAAATACTCACTACGGCACCAAATGTGAATTAATCCGCCGCTGAAAATAGTCCCCATAGCAAATACACTATTTCCTGTTTGAGTGACTTTTGTTGAGACGTGTTTTAACGATTTACGTCTTCAGTGGGAACCAACAGGCTCGATGCTAAGAGACGGACTGTTGTTGCTGTTGAGTGGATTAATCCGCCGCTGAAAATAGTCCCAAACAAATCCCCTATTTTCCTCCTGTTCTGGTACACTTTGATAAACTGACCAGCTGTTTGAGGAAATTACTGAAACTTAAAAAAAAAATGAAACTTCTAATTTGAGCTGTATTAAAGATTCACGTCTTCAGTCGGAACCAAATGAGCTTTGAGCTGAGAGACAGACAGGAAGTCAGAAAGACAATAAGACTAATTCACAAAGAATTAATTGCACCCGCTCTCTGCTCCGTCTCAAGGTCCGTTTCACAAAAAATGTATAGAAACGTTCATAATGTTTTGCAGCTGAGTGCAATTATCCATCTGGCAAATTAATATAAATGTCGCCTTTGGAGGCAGAACAAACCACCGTAGAACAGGAAGGGGTATTCAGTCGGGATGCAATTTGCCACCTCACCACTAGATGGCACTAAATCCGACACACTGCTCCTTTAAAAATTGTGGAAGGCCTTAATCTACGATTTGATGGCAACAAATTAGTCGTCACTGTTCAGGCCGAGGTTGGATCAGAGACGCTGTTGTTGACCAGCCTGTATATGTTATATTGATGGGCTGGTTTGCATAGAAATGGTGCCAAACGTCTTCATGTTACCTCATTTTAAATACGTGCAAATATTCGTGCAGTTGTGAGGCCGCAAAAGCTTTTTTTGTTTGTGAATTGGCGCAAAAGTGTCAACAGACATGCTAATCTTTGACATTACCGGTTAAGTTTTAGCCACGATTTTGTTCATTAAATGCTGCGTCAGCTCCACTCACGTTCCTGACGATCTCGTTGGTCTCTGGGTTTGACGGAGGTGGAGGAGGCGGGGGAGGAGGCGGAGGAGGTGGAGGAGGAGGAGGCGGAGGCGGCGGCGAGGGCACTTGGGGTTGAGCGCCATAGAGGTACTGGATGCCTCGCTTATCGTCCTCGCTCAGCCTCAGCGGGTAGGAGAAGGAGTAGTACGCCGACATGATGGCTCCCGGCTCGCGGGAGTGCTGCAGGCCCAGGACGTGCCCGAACTCATGGGCAGCCACCTGGAGGAGGTCTGTCCCTGCAGAGAGGGAGGGAGGAAAGACGAGTCAGAGGATGCAAAAAACACCTGGTTCTAATGGCGTCTGAAAGGAACCGTTTGTTTTGAGCTGCTGGCGGTGCAGATTTAGCTACCTGAGACGTTACGGTGCCAACAAAGAGTCATGAAGAAAAAGCACCTCGCCACTTCCTCTCCTTCCTGACTCACGTCTCTGTTTAGTCCACATGTCTCATGATACAGATGTGTCTGATGTATTGTAGTTTCAGGGTTGAGTTCTCACCCGTTTACAGGGAAGACAATGTCTGTGTAGAAGACTTTGTTCTTAACATTGTGTTGCTACATGGTGAAGGTCTTTATACATGAATGTAAATACTTTCAGACTAAAATCAGTTTAAAACTGTGAAGTAAGTCACTGAAAGTTGTTAAAGACAAGAACGCTTTAAAGTTGTTTTCATTACTTGATAGCTTTAATTTCATTTGAGATGGCTCTAGTGTTGTAGTATATATATATGTATTTGTTTTGTTCCTAGCATCTCTGTATTTGATTATGATGCTGCTCAACTCGAGGTAAAGTATATCTGTAATGAGACGATTACATTGTTCTATTACATTGAAAAACCTCCTTGTTTGGGTTCTTGCATCAATGAAATAATGACACGTTTATTGTCTTTGGTGACCTGGTCTGTTATTAAATCATATTTATTTCTTTATGTTCTACTTAAAGAAATAAAGATAAAACAAAGTTGGTGAAATAATAATCAGTTTTCTCCAGACAAACACTCACCCATGTGGTTTCCGAGGGTCCAGGACTCGTCGTAGTCGAAGTGGATGTCGCCCTGTCGGTGAGTTTTGGGGAAGAAGGCGTGAGCGAGAATCCCACCCGGGCCGTCGAAGGGAAGGTTGTCTCCGTGCCAGTACCTGCAGGTCCGTAAAACAAACACTCTGATGAGAATAAAAAAAACTCGTAAAATATTTCCTTAACTATAATATAGCTGCTAAAATTTATTTAAACTTCATTTTGTTTGTGTCTTTTAATTATTTTGCTTTACTTTTGGGTATTTTATTTACATTTTTATTTTTGTTTTGAAAAATGTTGAATAAATAAAGACATGAATGTCTGAACCAGACCAAATATATTAATATTCTGTTATTTTGCCCCAAAACAAATTTTAAGTAATATTTGTATTTTTTAATCTACACATATAAAATAAGTCTTAAAGGAGTTTTTACTTCCCCCCTCGTCTCGGTCCTCCCACCTTGTGAAGTCGATGCGGATGTCGGCCTTCCCGCCGTGGATCTCGGTGAAGGTGAGCGGTGTGACGTCGCTCCAGATTTTCAGCGCCTCCCGAAAGACACGCCGAGCCTTTTCCTCACCTATCTGCCAGGGGAACCGGACGATCCTGCGGGAGATCAACGCAGGTGTCAAACACACACACACACACACACACACACACACACACACAGGATGTACAGTATAGTAGCAGAGAGGGGACCACCGGCCTCGCATGCCTCCCTCTAATCTGATATCTGCAGCAGGGGAGGTGTGCCGTTACCGACGCCCTCAGGCTCGCTAACAAAACACCGCATCACTGTCTCCTCCCTTTTCCTTTCTGATAGAAACCACCCAGTGTGATGAAACCTCCTTATCTTATGACTCAAATCTAAAAGTTACTGCTGCAGTAAAATGAGAATGAATGTTTCAGTTTGTAATAAATCAGTTGTTGATGAGATGACTTTGACTTTGTATGAGAGTAATAACTCGCAGAAAGGTTGTCACAGTATGTGGAGAGTTCGCTTTTTTATCTAGGAAGGTTTTAAATATCAGGTTCAATCCTGATATTAAAGTAAAACTTTGGGGAAATACTCTTATTTTTTTTCTGACAGAGTTTGATGAGAATGTCTGTACGGTCAATATGAAGCTACAGGCAGTTAGCTTAGCTTAGCATGAAGAGTGGAAACAAGCAAAAACAGGCTAACGTGGCTCTGTCCAACGGCCACGAAATCCTCTTAGTTTACTGACGTTATATCAAGTTTTTTTAATCCGTCTAAAAACAGTTGAAAATTACGTTTTTACACTTTGTTTTTTGTACAAATTAAATAAACAAAATATAACATGCTGATCATAAACTGTATATATGAAGTGGAGGTAGTCGTAGTGACGTCAATCATTAGTTTGTGGACTGATGTTATGAAGCCTCGAGTTTGGCGATTTCACCGTCGCCATCTTGGATTACCGCCGTCGCCATGTTGTTTTAATGCAACCAGTGAACAGAAGTGACCATATCTGGACTGAGGAGGAGTGACGTAGAGACGCCGTATACGTCTCTGGTAGAGACCTGTCAATCACCGTGTAGCCCCGCCCTAAAGCATCCCCTGCTTTATGGTCTGT